TTTTTTTTTTGAAATTTTCAAATTTTGACCCGGCCGGGTTATGAAAACCATTTAATTAATTTTGCATGGCCTTATGTAGCTTTATATAGAAAGTTTTTAATACAATCATCGGCATCCATATTCCCATTTGTCCATCCTTGCGTGGATTTCTCAGTGCAGTTCATATATTTTCCATTATATTTATCTCTTTTAAATGTAGAAAAAAATCAAAAGCACGTACGTACGTACATACATACCGGGAATGTACTGTAGAAAATGTCCTCAAATTAGAGTGTATTAAATATGTGCACATATGTATATCATGTATGTATATCGGTATATACGTACTGTACGTCGTCAAGGTGCGTGGAAGCGCAAAACCTTGAATCTAATAAACTGATATGGATGTTTTTCGTATATCAGGAAATAAAAGAAAATTATATCAGGAATCGTAGACACTTAGTTTTGGTGAAAAAAAAAATAAAAAAGAAGGAATTTTAAAAAAGAAAATCTTTAAAACCTTTTTATGGTGATCTGGTCAAAACTTATCGTAAATTCTCGAATGGGCGTTATTTCGAAATTTGGCCAGAATTAAGCCAAAATTCGAAATAGAGAATTTACGGTAAAGATCATTCCTTAGAGATTGGAATTGATCAACGAACTTTTTAATAGAACATTCATCGAGCATCTATTAATTCACAAGATTCAGATTTATATTTCGGAACACGCAGAAGGTCCCAGAATAAATAAGGTATTTAACATTTGATGTTTATCCTAATAGAAAAAAAAGAATTCGCTAATGTTCGAAAGGACTCAGTTTAAGATAAATGATGCTCGAAATCCATTGATTCTAATTTCTATCATTTCTAATTTACCTTAGTCAAATCAACTTTTTTTGACAACTTTACTGCATCCGGAAATGTATATAGGTTAGTACGTACGTACGTCATAACGGCTGAATAAGAATCAGATCCTCCGAAGATTCAGTGATTTTATTATATGAAGAGATTTTCGGTGGAACATGATAGTATACCGCGGGATAGGGGACTGGAACATCGGAAGATGGACATAAGATATTTCATAAAACCGGTGAATATTGGGTTTTATGTTCCTGAAGTATCTGGAAATGCCTAGTCACAGGGTGAAAAAAAAAAACTTCGCTGTAGCGAGTAATTTACGAATCTAGTCATTGTGGTGTATCATCCCGGTAAACATTTTCATGATGCCTTTCATTGCTTCATTAACATTAGAATTATCTAACGTTTCTAAGTCAGACCATAACATTTAATTATTTATTAATTATATTTATCCGGTTTGGCATGAAGACGCCGTGCGGCTACTTATTTTACAATGTTTATTTTACATGTTTTTCCGCTACCAATATGGGAAATTGGAATGATTTAAAAAAGTATTTTATACTTTATTAAACCAAAAATCTTTATCTCAGCCGTTCAAGCTCTCCGACAAAATCGCTTATGGACGTCATATGCAAGACGCGGTCAGCCAACAAAAAAACCTCACTATTATCGAAGGAGCCGTGGAAAATTTATTAATAGAGGAGGGTAAGGTTCAGGGAGTAGAATTAAATAATAGGGAAGTAATTTTGGCTAAAATAGTAATTTTAACTACTGGTACTTATTTGCAGCCAATCACTTATCGGGGAAAAGAAAGCCGCACGGAAGGGCCTGATGGAGAAAAAAGGGTAGTAAATAATATTTCTCAACAATTACAAGAATTAGGATTTAAATTAAAACGCTTCAAAACCGGAACTTCCCCGCGTATTTTAACTAATACTATTGATTTTTCGGGTTTAAAAGTTGCAGTATCCATAATCATTGGGCATGTCGTATATACTAGCTTGGTCTTAGGAACATGATCAAGCAAGTAATTAACAATAGTAGTGCATTTATTAACAACAATATAGCTTATCATTACATAACGATAAAATGATTTAAACTCGTGAATTTAAATAAGTTTAATGTTGTGATTTAAATTAGTACTATACTGTACTAGTAAATATATATGTTTCGCGTTATTTTTTGATTTATAGTATTTTAGGTGCAACCTTTTCTTTAGCTATTTACAGCTCAGATATATAAACCTCACTAGATTTACCTGTTTAATTTTAAAGGACTGAGAACTCCATATAGATAAACCATTTTGCAAAATGGCCAGACTGTAATTACGTTTAAGCAATCTATGTTTTACTCATTTTTTTACTTATTTAATAATTATTTAAAGTGAGAAAAGTGAAAACAAATAAAGTAATTAAACAAGAATCGTTAAATTATGATGTTAATTACGTTTTAATCGATCTGAATTTTAAAAACTGTATAACATATCTAAATACAGTATCATGTCAATATACTTTATGCATGAATGCTGTTTCTTTGTATAAATTTTTTACAGTCCTTAAAGCAAAAACAAGCAAAGATAAAAAAAAAAATTTATAATATATAATAGTTAATAACTTTTTGCAATGCACATAGTTATTATTATTTTTTTTTTAACCAGAGCAAGCTTTGGCAGTATAAATAGTCTTTGATAATAGCAATGGGGTTTTTTAAATCGTTTTTTATAGAGCGATTTTATTCTAAACATTATCTCTTCCCTATGAAAAAATATTTTCGGAAAAACATGGAAGCTGAACACGGAAACATGTGTAAAAATATGTAAAAAATACGTAAAATGTACACTTTCCGTGTTCTTGGGCAGGAAAACACAACAGGGGTGAACGTCCCGAGTGCCCCGAGTTTGTAGATCGTTACACAATTAATTAAAGATTTTTTTTTATACGT